CCACTATCGTACATAACATTTAATTGATTTCAAAAATTTATTCCTCGCTGCAACCGTTCGTAAATTCGCCGGGGAAAACGATACCGGAGCTATAGATTAAAATTTGAAGACCGGAACGTGAGGAACGTTCTGGTCTCGATGCATCTTAAGAGAGCTTTTATCCATTATTGAACTATAACAAAACTTTAAATATTTCTTAATCGAAATGTATAAAAATCAATAACTCCCGATTCTGTCTCGGTACAAGGAAATTGAAACTTTTGTACAAGGTGATGAAGCAAAATAAGAAGAGAACAAGAAGAAGCGGAGAATACGTACGCGGGGAACGATTTGACTGATAAAAAATTAGTATTCGGGTTTGCACGTGCGTAAAGATGCGCATAAATTTAATTGTTTTGCGTACCATTGCATCAACGGACAGGCATACATAATTAAAATTGGCACGATATACAATTTGTATCGTGTTGTTTTGATTCATTTATTAAAATTTTTTTTTATTAGGACAAGAAATATCGACCATGAATCAATACAGGACAATGTGAATTTAATTTCGATTAATTTGTTAAAGAAATTCTAGTTCGATCTAAATTTCATTTGGAAATTTGAAAATTCTACGTTCGTCGTTCAGATTTGATGATTAAGCGTGTGATTTACATCGGTGAAATAAAGATAAGCAAACTTTAAGATAAATTTACTATTAGTCATACCGGTTCGTAAGAATGACGAAGACCTTAGAAAAATGATGATACAGAATGTAGCCTGAACACCTCACTAAAAGGATAGAAATTCGATTCACGAGTTTGTATTGGTTGATTACGTTGAATGCGATCATCGCATGACGCGCGGGAGAAAAATGTGAATGACAAGTCCACGATTCTATCCATGAGGAAAAAAGGAAATGTCCAATAAACTAATTGTTGCAGTTGCATTTGCAATTAAAAGGATGCAGGTAATTAGTAACGACGTCGTTTAAAGTTCAGTTATCTCGTTTCCGAATGTGTTTCGATAAAAGAACAATTGCGCACAATTTAATGGATAAAATAATACATGAAATATTGTGGAAATAATAATTTGAACCAGTGTAAGAGCACGACTGAGAATTATCATAATTCGAAACATTTCTTTATGTAAAATCATTTTTACGTAAATTAGAAAATTCATGATTTTTAGCTGTTACTTAACGTACTGCCAATATGAATCAGTAGCTGTTATACACAGCCTTACGTAGAATCATTGAAACTGCGGGTACGATATGATTCTTAACCACTATACGTTTTTTAGTATTTGTCCAAGTGTGACAGATACGTAATCAAAACGATTAAAACTACATTTACAGAAATCTTTGAAAATAATTATTTCTGAGCTGAAAAAATTAAATGCGGTGTACATGTAAAAAGTGGAATATAAGATTAAACATTTAACCGAATAAAATTTAGAAAGTAAAGGAAATATAAAATAGAATACACTCTTCTGCTTACATAATTTTATCGTATATATGTATATATGACATATTACGTAATATACTGTATTATTGTTACATTAAGTCATACAATACATAATGTCATATCAATTACATCTCGACCTATCTTATCGTTTATTTCGTTGCACCTTCATCTCGATGTCATTGAAGGAAATTGAATATATTTCTAATATAAAAAAATACGATTTCAATATTATGACACTTCCCTATCAAACGAACTAGCTATTAGGTTATGGTTACAGTGAGGATCTGTAATTTACATATTTTATGGTTACACATAGGTATTAAACCTTTAAATATACAACGCGATGGGGTGTTGTAAAATGCACGATACACCTTATAACGGTAAAAACAAGTTAATTGAGGGTAAGCCGTTTACACGTAGACCGAGCCATTTCTACGCTCGTTTAGCTTTTTCTTGGCCCATTGACGAGAATAACATGATATCCCTTCGACCGGCGTATAGTGAAATTATTTCTTTAGCACCGCGAGATAACGGCTATCATCGTGAAGTTAAATTGTCAATATAATCCTATAGCCAACAGTTCCATTGAATCCTAATTCAGTCGCGGTACGATGCAATGCGGCACGGGGTTTCCTTTATCGATGTGTAAATAATTAGTCTGTCTATTTCCTGTTCTGCTGAAACACTTAATTCACCTAAAATTACGGTGTCGTCGTAAGTATTGATATTCGTAAACTTCATTCGTATCTAATAGATAATTAACGATTTCGCCGGTGGCCGTGACCGATATGCGGTAACGCCGTCGCACGATGTCCGCGATATCAATAATAAGCGATGAGCATGCGTGCGGCAAAAAAGAACGTTCACGTATATGTGGCTACCTGACGAAAGTGATGGTTCCCATGACAATTTTTTTTTGAGAGTATACTAAGGTCACCTTGGATTTGTCAAAGGAAGCTACGACACAAAGGCACGCATCGGCGACGAATACGAATGTAACTTCGTCATGCAATTCTGATGCGATAAAATGTTGGTTCCGGAAGGGCTGAAACTTTCATTCCTCGGAATCCCCTCATCGAAGTTAGAACTCACAGATCTTTCCTGTATAAAGGTTTCCTGTATAAACGTATATAATTATAAATTTTTTTGGGAATTAATAAACGTCGATTGAATGCGAAAGAAACTAGGAAATTGATCTGATATTTTTGTATCGCTACTACGTACTTCGTACCTTACAAGATTACGAAATATAGAAAATACCGGTACAAACATAATAAAGACGAATTATTTAAGTGCAAAACGGACATTTTCATTGGTAAAATTTATCAAAGTAAAATACCATTCACCTGAGGTTAATTACTTCTCATGGCATGCTTTAGCATATTTCAAGAGGTAATGAGCTGGTGAGCCACACATTTGATGGATAGAGTAGCATTATCAAAGAATGGACTAATTTTCCCTACTCTCTATCGTAATGCAAAAAAAGAACCACCTATTCATTGATTTACACCGATTATTTACCGTCCTTTATAATATGTATGTACCTTTCCCTCCAATTCCAATTTATCGTATTTAAGAATATCGTACGTTAAAAAATGTTGGGATTCCTAACCTATAGTCATGTCTTCCATATATTCCATATTACTATATCTCGTCATTCCGGTGCGCTGTAGCCCTGTAACCTTCTAGGTTCCGTTCGACCAGCACGAAAAGAAAAAAAGAGTAAGATGATAATAGTTGGTCGATTGTATTACGCATAGCCGTAAGCTCTGCAGATGCGTGATGCGCTAAACGTGACGCGGTACCGACGTTCCACGGGCAAACCGTGTACGGAACACTGTTTTTGGGCATCGTTACCGGGAAAAATCGATGCTCAGCCTGATAGGACGCAGAAAATATGGATTCATGACGCAGTTCCTCAAAGGGCCGGCCTGCTTTTAAGCAAGGTTTTCGAAAAAGTTTCTGTGGCTCGGTTGCAGCGAGTCTGCGCACAAATAAACGCGCAATGCGACACGCGATAGAGTAGGACAGAAAGACTGGTAATCTCGTTAAAAAGAGACGGAACGGGGGATGGAGAAGCGCACAGTGGCGTTCACGATTAACGGTAAGGAAGGGAATTTAATGGGTGTCACGGCAAAGAATGTTAATTTTATACCGTACGTTCATCGATGTAGCGCCTAATTGGTGTTAATTTAACAGGAAATGCGCCACTGAAGACTATTCAAGTGTTCAATTTACAAAATAATATGATTTCGAGTCGCTTTGTATTCGAATAGCTTCCTGGTGTAGGAAAGGATGCTGATGTTTTATTATATTTGAAAAAAATCTGAAAATTTTATTTGAACATTGGATAGGGAAACATTACAAATTTGTCGATAGTTAATGCATTATATTACGGTGTTGTATTTTAAATAAATGATATTACAAATAATAAATATTTACATAATTTAAATATATATTATTACT